TAACCATAGACAAAGGGCATCTTTGTACATTTAAAAGAAGGTAAAGAAACATAGAATCATTTTTCCTGTAACAATCTAAAACTTAAAAGTGTCTGTAGCCTGCTGTTGTTACCACTGTCCTGTTTGAAAAGGAATGAGAGAAGCTGGTTATTTTGTCATATGTGCCGATATTAAACCCAAGGTACTTACCAGCTAACTGACTGCATTCCCATTAGCCTTAACTCCTGTTGTGTGTGTGTGTACAGAGAGACAGTCAGGTTCATAATGGATATAAGGAAGTTTTTTCAAAAAAGGAGCCACATTCAGTTAAAAGTGTAAGATCAAATTATCCGTCAATAAAGGATAATGTTGGATCAGTGTTTCAGTATTTATATCTTTTATTAGATGTTCATGTGTTTGGTTATTTGCCTTTTGGTTGAAAGTACATTGAGAAGGGACTTTAATAGTGATTTCAATAGTATTTTTTTCATATTAATTTAACTTTTTTCATTCAATACAATCTATTTGTGTATGATTGTCAGTCCAAAGAGGGAGAGAGGAAAGAGGGGAATGTGAGGAGAAAGTACAAGGTCAGGAAGAACCAGGTAAAACAGACAGGGAACAGTGACAGGCAAAACAGAAACTGTTAAACTGCTTGAGAGAGTTGACCACGAAACAGTGATAGATTTTCCAACCTCAAGGTGAGGCGACATAGGTTAAAATGATATAAAAAATCTGCAGAGCCATATTAGTAGTATCTGCAGTAAAGAGCTTTTCATACATTGTACCATAGGCACAGTTGTCTCCATTTTTATAATTTTTTTAATTAATATTTTGTACATATCAAGGACTCTTCTATTTTTGGAGTGTATTTTTTATGTATCTGTATTATATTATACATACACTTTAAAAGTGAATCTCTGTCCAAAAAATGCACTCAGTTTACTTTTTACTCACTGTGAGCATCATTCATTATTCTCCCCCAGTAATTAAGGTTAGGATATGTATTTTTTTTTTTATTCCAATCCATTTTTCTTTT